CAAACAAACCAACAGATTTCTTTGTGGCTAGTTCATGTGTAAAACTGAGAAAGAGAAACTGGAATGTGAGAACAGTCACGTTATAAAGCCTTTATGCTTCACAATAAGAGAAAAACATGTTACAGAATAAAGATTTCTGAAGGTGAAAAATATTTACTACTTAGGGTAAATGAATTAAGACAAAGGAATAAAAATGCAATGAAATGTTACATAGAATCTGATTAGAGCCTAGCAGTCACTCTTGTAAGACCTATTACTGCTTTGTCTGGCTTATCAATAAGTTAGTGGAAAATACACGAAGAGAATTCAGGCTGTATGTGTAGAATCAATACAAGCTCAACTTCCCCTTCTTCCTTCCCATCCTATTGGCTGTTTTTCTTGAATGATACAATCATTTTATAATGAAAAAAAAATGTAACCAATATTAGTCTTTGATTAGATGCTTTGAAATGAAATCTGCATGTCCATGGCCTTAACCTAGCTCAGTATCAAAAGCAGCTGCATTAATCATCAGCCCATGGACTTGTAGTAATTTTATTTTATATAAAGTAGCCTTTTTTCCTTTGTAAACCCCTCTGTTTGTCATATAAATTGCTGGCATTATTTAATGTGGAATGACTTTGTTTTGAATGCTGCTCATTTCCTTAGAATATAGTACATTAAATTGTTCTCATTTGGATCTGAAATTGAGAAATGGCAGTTTTCCCTTATTAAGAAACAGAAATGGATTAAATTTATCTAGTTAACAGTGCTATGATATTCTGAACTTCTCTGTAGAAAGCATTATCATTACTTCAGAATCTCAGTTTTCATGTTAAGACTTGTTTCTGTTTCTGGAGTGAACAAGGTACTTTTTAGTTAAACATGGTACTTTTTTCTTGTTTTGTGAGTTCCCCTCCTTATTTTTGGCTACATAGATTATTTATGCTGAAGGCTTTAAAATCTGTATTTTGCTTTAACAATTTTATACCACAGGTTGCAAACTGGTGTGTCAGACATTGTTAAAAATTTTAAAGAATTAATTGCCAACAGCAGCAAAAGATGACATTAAAGCAAAAGTAATGAAGAAAACTTGATCAGGGTGATGAAAACAGGTAACAGACTTAATTTAATGCCAGAGATTTAAAAGACTGTGTTCTAGGAACAGTATGTTTTGGATCAGACCGAAACTCAGTTGAAACTGTCCTTTCCAAGAGGACCATACACTTTTGTCAGAACCATATAAAGTTTGAAAACCCTTACTAATATGTCACAGGAAGAAGAAACATGGTTCATTGTGTCTTGAGGCCACAACAGCAAAGTCATAAAGAAACTGTGTATGATTTATTCATATTGTTGATTAAAAATATTTATATAAATATATATTTCCCTTCCTCTCTGATAAAAGCTCTTACTATCACAGTTGGCTTACTTCTATGTGAAGAAGTCTCCACCAAATTGATATGAGTAAGATTTAGAGGTTATGTACAAGGCAGGAGAAAGAGTCTTATAAGATCCTTTTCTCAGCCATATAGCAGTTGCTTAAGTCCTAGCTCCCTGTCCATTGCTGTCAAATGACAAAATAAATGAGCTAACTGGAGAAAACATTGTGTTTGCCAGGTAAACAAACTCAAGAAAAACCAATTGCACTAATTATAGGCCAAAGATAGACCCATTTTGATTCCTCCCAGTTCAAAAATGTTTGAAACAGATATACTTTGAATAGGTGAATTGTAAGGTATGTGAATTATATCTTAGTGAAGCTGTTTTTTAAAAGTAAACAAATCCCATGGAGAAATTTTGCCCCAAAAAGAAGGCATAAATATGTTTTAAGTGATGAAGAACTTCAGTGTGGGAAACACAAAATTTTAAGTCACTCAAGGGAAGAAGAGTTAGGCTGGCTCCCTTGGATAAACTTTGAGGACATATTAGAAAATCACCACACACTTTTTTTTTGTTTGTTTGTTTTTTGTTTTGTTTTGTTTTGTTTTGTTTTACATTTTTTATTGATTCATAATCATTTTACAGTGTTGTGTCAAATTCCAGTGTTCAGCACAATTTTTCAGTCATTCATGGACATATACACACTCATTGTCACATTTTTTTCACACTTTTGTTTTTTATTGTTTCAGGAGGACAGTTGTGAGGCCAGTGTACTTTTGACTCAATGGGGCTAAATGGGTGAGTGAGTGCATGGTTCTCTGGTAAGGGTGGCGGACAGGAGAGAGCTCAGGCTTTGAACACGACTGGATTTGACTGTGATCAAGACACTAAATATAACCTCTGTAAGCTTCGATTTCCTTGTCTATGGCAGGGAATATTTAAGTCCAAGCTAAGTTTACTGACTAGGTCACATAGCACCCAGATTCAATCATTTGAAAAACGTAAATTAAAAAAAAAATCAAATCCCTTTAAATATAAGTGTCATTTCCCGACTTTAAATTCTTAAATGGCTTTTTATTGCAGTATCAGCAATCTGTAAAATCCTGAATGATGGACTCCTCCTGCTACCTCTTTGCCTGTCATCCCTAGCCTTGCTGGTCTTCTTTTACCAAGAGTCTGTTTTTATGTTTCTCTATCTGGAGGGTCTGTTCCTAGCTCTGGATAAATTGGCTCCTTCTCATCCTGAGGATACTGTTTGAATGTGGCTTCTACTAAAGGCCTTAATACCCTATTTCTAAAACTTTCCCTTTTGACTTCCCCATTATCTTTGGCAGGTCTTTATTTTCTTTGTAGAGTAGCACAGATTTGTAGTTCTTTTATTCATGTGGTCATTTGTGATGCCCCATGTAGACTAAGCTCTGTGAGCACAGGAAGTATGCATATGCTGAGTTTCCTGTTAAATCCCCAGTGACTAAACTAGTTTTAGGTGCAAAGGAGACACTCACCAAATGTTTGGTTGAATTAAGAACTGCACTTTGAATGAATAGAGGGTGCTTGTACTTTTCCTTTTTGACATCTGACAATTGTGCAGACTCCTTCAGTAATTGCTATAATTCCTTAAGGTTCTTTTATGTAGAAATAATACTTAAAAGCGTGTGTGTGTGTGTGTGTGTGTGTGTGTATATATACACACATATATAGTGAAATATATATATATATTTTAAGACTTTTTTTTTAGAGAAATTTTAGTTCATGGCAAAATTAAGAGGAAGGTACAGACATTTCCCACCTATCCCCTGCCCCCCACACATGCATAGTCCCCCCATTATGAACAACCTCCATCACAGTGGTACATTTGTTACAATTGATGAACCTACACTGGTGAATCATAATTACCCAAAGTCTATAGTTTAAGCCTCTGGCATATTTCAAAATAGTTCATTTTTCCCTCCCCCCTGCTGGAAGCACAGGGGGATTTTTTGGTGTTCTACATCGTACGATTTTGGATAAATGTATAATGACATGTATCTACCGTTGCAGTATAATACAGAGTAGTTTCACTGCCCTAAAAATCCTCCGTGCTCTACCTATTCATCCACCATCCCTTCCCTGGTAACCACTGATCTTTTTTACTGTCTCCGTAGTTTTGCCTTTTCCAGAATATCATGTAATTAGTATTATATAGTATATAGCATTTTTAGACTGGCTGCTTTCACTTAGTAATATGCATTTAAGTTTCTTAATAGTTCTTTTTTTTTCTTTTTTCTTTAAAAAGAATTTTTTATATTGAGGTATAGTCAGTTTACAATGTTGTGTCAATTTCTGGTGTATAGCACGATTCTTCAGTCATACATGAATATACATATATTCATTTTCATATTCTTTTTCACCATAAATTATTGAATATATTTCCCTGTGCTATACAGTATACACTTGTTTATCTATTTTATATATACCAGTCAGTATCTGCAAATCTCGAACTCCCAGTTTATCCCTTCCCACCCCTCACCCCTAGAGTTCATTTCTTTTTAATTTCGAACAGTATTCCATTGCCTGGATGTACCACAGCTTATTTATGCATTTACCTACGGAAGGACATTAGAGCTCTTAGCATATTAATAATAGTTGCTTTAAATTCCTGATCTGATAATTCCATCATCCTTGCCATGTGTTCTGATACTTGCTCTGTCTCTTCAAATTGTGTTTTTTTACCTTTTAGTATGTCTTGAAATTTTTTCTGGATAGCCAGACATGATGTACCTGATAAAAGGAACTACTATAAATAGGCCTTTAGCGATAAGGTGGTGAGGTATGAGGGGAGGGGAGGGGTGAGGCATCCTGTTGTCCTGTGCTTAGGTGTCAGTCTTTTAGTGAGCCTGTTCCTCAGGACTGTGAGCTTCACAAGTGTGTCTCATTTTTTTTTCTCCACACTTGGGTGGGACAGGATGGCTAGAATGGTTTGGAGTTGGGTATTTCCCTTCCACCATGTGGAAGGCTAGAGGGGGTTAGATACAAGTAGTTCCCTTCCCCCAGGTCAGTTAGGCTCTGATAAATATCCCAGCAGATTAGACTCCGATTAACTGTTTTCTCCAGAGGGCAGGCCTCCTTAAAAACAAAGTCCTCCGGAGTATTTCAGGATACTTTATTTCCTCCTCCCCCTGCTGGAAGCTCAGTGGGATTTTTCCCTCTGATATTTACTCTGGGAACTTGGTCAAGCTCTTGGAGGCAAATCTCACAATGAGAGACAGGGTCCCCTTGGAACCTTTACCTCTTAGAGTTGTCCACATTGAGCCTCCAGAAATTCATCAGTTACAGGGTTCCCACCCCGGCACTGGTTCTTGCCGCATATTCTGGGTCTCTTCTCCACTAAGCTGCGACTTCCTATTTTCACCTGTCTCTCTTCAATCTTCGCAGCAGTGATTTGCCCTTTGTTCTCTCCTCTTTTATGGATCCGAGAAGAGCGGTTGATTTTTTTAGTTCTTTTGGTTTTTTGCTTCTTAAAGTGCTGACTTCTCTAAGCTCCTTATATACAGAACTGGAAACTGGTTAAGTCCCCTGTCTATCCTCCCCTCTCCTCCCTTTCCCTCCTCCTCCCCCTTCTCTCTTTCCTCTTTCTCCTCTTCTTTTCTCTTCTCTTTTTTCTTTAAAAACAATTTATGTCTTTTTTTTCCTCCAGTAAAAGATATGGTACGTTTCAGGTATGTCTCCTTTTTAGGAGGTGAATCAAGTGGAGGGAAGTATATTGGTGTCAAGGCTGAGAATAAAAATCCAGATTTCTAGCCTTGGTCATCTATTTCACCAACTGTGTGCCCATATTAAATAGACTGTTTCTGCATGACTTAGAAAAATACATAGAAACCAGAGAGTGATAATGCCAGAGAAGCTCACAGATGAGACTATTTAGAATTGGATTTAAAACAAAACCAGTGTCTTGGTCATTAGTTTATAATTTCTGACGCTATCTTATGTCATCTAAGATGAGTAAAAATTTGGGCCGTACTTTTCTAATGAGAAGTCCCTTTTATACAATAGCATGTTACATATAATTACGGTAGGATGTAATTACCATGGTACTTGGGATTACTGTTTTTCCTTCTCTTCAGAATGATGGCTAGAATTGTGATCTCTTGGATTTGAGTTTTTCAACCTGTTAAATCTGTTCTTTGGTTGAAAATCAAGAATGAGAACTCATTTATTCACTTATGTATTCCTTTATTCATTAAATATTTGAGAACCTCCTATTCCAGATCCTATGAAGAAAATGGTGAATGAGACAGTTCCTACCTTCACAGAGCTAATACACAGGTGAACAAGCAGTTAGAACTCACTGATTAGTGCTGTGATGGGATGCTGAAAGACAATATGGCAGGGGCCCAAAAAACAGAATTGAATTAGAGGAAAATTTTTTTAGAGAAAGAGATTTTTAAAGTAAAAGCTAAAGAGGAGCATGAGTTAACCTAAGGAGTATAGCTACAAGGGGGATCTGGGCCCAGGGCCCTTTGGTGGAAATGGAGTGAGTTTGGTGTTTATTAGCATGTAATGAAAGGGAATGATTTAACCGAAATGAAACTGTAGAGGTAAGTCGTGCCAGTTCAGGAAGGACTGTAAGCCTTTTTTTTCTAAGGGCATTGGGAGGCTGTTGAAAGCCTTTGAATTGGGCTACAACATGATCAGACTTGCATTTTAGAAAGTTCCCTCTGGCTACAGTGCTACACATATTGGTATGGAGAGGTAAGGGAGTTGAAAAGGAAAAACCTAGAAGCAAGGAGATCAATTAAGAGACTCTGTTCCAACCCTGTAGGAGAATGGGAATTCTTACCCAGAGTGACACTAATGAAGACTGAGAGAAGCTTACAGGTTTGACTGTTATTTAAGAACTAAAGTTGATCCTCTCTGTCTTGTTTAGGTCACTGGATAAATAGTTAGTGACAGTGTTGAGATTAGGACCCAAGAGATGAAAGAAGGTTTGAGGCTTTCTTAAGAAGAGGGGTGGTGTGAGAAGTAGGAGCCAAGAGAAAATGAGTTCAATTGGGATTATGGAAATTGAGGTGTCTGAATTTTCTATTTAGGTAGAAAAATTGAGTATACCCCTGAGTGTATAGATCTCAACCTCAGGAGAAAAGTGCTAGCTGGGAATGCAAACTAGGGTTCATCAGCATGTAAATGAACATATGATACGGGTGCTTAGAACAATACAGCAGTGCCTGGGAAAAGTGTCTTTTTACATAATGGACGCTTATTAAATATTTGTTGAATTAATGCATGACTAGAAGCCATGGGAGTGGTTTTAAGTGAGAAGAGAGACAGGCTTGGGCCAGCACTGGGAGGAAGTGAAATAGTTCAGGGACTGGCTGAGTAAGAAGGAACAGCAAGAGACAGGAGGAAAACCAGGAGAGAGTGGCAGCATGAACCCAAAGGGGAAAGAATGTTTTAAGAAAGAGCAAAAGAGTAAGAGAGATAAGGACTGAAAAGCACTCCTTGGATTTAGCCTCAAGGATGTGGTTTATTTTACCTGGGGGTGGAGAAAGATATCAATGGTTTGTGTGGATGGGATTAAAAACCCTATTGCAGTGTGTTCAGGAATGAGGAAATAGAAACAGTGAGTGAATAGCCTGTGGGGGAGAGAGAGAATGGTTGCTGGGCAGGGAATAATGATCAGGGTGCTGGATCTTATTTCTAATGGTAAGGTTTTGAACATGTTTAATGCTCATTGAAGGAAGTCAGCCTAGAGAAAGAGGATAAAGTTATTGGAGAGAGATAATGCAGTGACGTTTATAAGTGATTTGCCTTGGGCATGA